ACCTTATTTTTGCCTGTGCAAGTTGCCTTGGATTCTTTTGCCATGCTGTCTGGACCTATATTCAGTTTTTCTAGGAAAGAGTGAAACAGACCTTTAGAAGAAGAAGATCTTCAGAAACCCACACTTGCTAAGGACTTAATTCAGACTTCTCTTTAACTGCAGCTTCCTGGCCGTCAGTAGATCATCCACCAAGTTACCCTGAGGTAAGTTAAAGGAGAAACCTTCACAGTGTGCTTTGCTTACAATGAAGATGTCCAGTGTGTGAAGTCTACTTATCAAAATTTCCCTGAACATTTTTCTTCTAATTGTATGAGAGCAGTACGATGAAGTAGGCAACTGGAAAATGAGTTGGCAATCAAAATCCTTAATTCTAAATGTGATTTCCTTTCACTACGATTACCTATTCAATATAAGTGTATCTGACTGTTCTTTAGCCAGGCACTGGACCTCCAACAGCTACCATCAACAATATTGGCTCACTATGAACTTCACAGTTTCCAGGTTCATGTTTATGTAACAGTACAAATGCATTTAAAAGCCTCTGCCTTCAGAAGGAGATGAATAAATGTAAATGTTCATCACCTTTGAGCACATGGCAGAGGCGTTTGCAGCTCAGACAGAATCTCCACAGAGAGGGGAATGACAGTGATGTGGGGGTGAGGGTAATGAAACACAGACTCAATGATCTTAATGGTCTTTCTCAATCTAAATGATTCTATGATTCTGTAAGTTTGGAGACCAACCTCTTCCTACCTTCCCAAAAGACTTCTCAGACAGATTATTTGCTCTCTCTCACTCCTCAGTTTTTATCTTATTGAAGTGGAACAACAATTTGCCTACTGGAAAGGACCACACCTGATTTCTGAGCAAAACAACTCCATGCGGAGATGCGGCATCACAATATAGAAGATTATTTCATAATGTTATCATGGAAAAAGACAGAATAAAGATTACCTAAATGTGGCATTTTATGGCTACTAAGCATTTGTATATATAATTGTATTTCAATATGATTTTCTACATCCCTTTTCTTGTGGAGTATTAGTGCTACACCAGGTGCTACATGAGCCATGAACTCTACATCTAGCAGCTTTATGTATAAAATAAGTTTATAATACTAAAAACTAAAACCTGTATTTTGCAAACTAGCTCAGCAACTGGAGGCATTCATTTCAGTTTACATCTACAAAACTGGAATGAGATCTGAATTTGCATGGGCATAAACTCTGTCTGTGAGATGGGAAAATCTTCTGTATTGTCATGCATACAGCATTTAACCTAGTAATAGGAAGGGCATGGGAAAGCTCCTTTTCTCCCTCCCTTCTCTTCCCATGAGCCAGGCCTCCTGATGCCCTGCTATGGTGCCAGCTGAGGGCCTCAGATCCTCCCTGTGCTGTGCCATGACTTGAAGTCCATCTCCTAAGCACACTGTGTTTAAGAACATGGTTGAAGGGCAGTTGGCTTTTTCTTCCCCTATCCATGTACTGTAGGGATGGCATGTGGCCCTAAGCAGGAGCCAGCCTGGGGCACAGAACAATTGCAGGGGCAGTGGGCAACTATGGCCAGTCCTTCCGTGATTATCACTTGGCGTACTTGTGCCCCTCATTCTTCATTGTTGATATGGGAGTATGGAAAAGGCCCAGCAAAAATAGATCTTCTCTGAGCAAGGTGCTCAGCTAACATAAAGCAAAAAATACTTGGTCATGAAAGTTTTACAGTTGAAAAAAGAAAAATTGAGGTGAAATGGAGCTAGAAGCACTGAGAGGAATTTGCTCTGTTAAAAAACAGGGCTAAGTGGCAGGCTGGGAATAAATCCTGTCTCTAAGACAGGACTCAATTTTTGGTTGGGAGATGCAGACAATTTTCTGATGGCCATTTTTCAGCCAAACGACCATTCAGATTTTTGCTCCTACTGCCAAGCATCTCTACCTTTTTTGCATCTTTCCCAGTGCCTGAGAAAGCCAGAACATGATCACAGTGAAATGCAAGAACAACAATAGTGTTGTGCTTCTGAAGGAGTCAGGAAAATGTTTGGATAAAACAAGCTCCAGATCTGATGAATAGCAAGAACCACAGCTTTATAGAAGTTGGCTGCCCAGCTGTGCAAACACTGTAGCATATATGAAATTATGGCAGGCCTGGAGCATCTTCTACCAATTTGTCTTTACTCTGATAGTTAGGTAATACCTTAACAAAAATCTCTCAGCATGAAATCTTCCCTCTGTTGAAATATGATTATTCATTTCTCTCTTGTGTTGTTTTATTTCCTGCTGGTATAGAATAGCAAGCTCCTTGGTAATTATTTTCTTCCAGCAACCAAAGCTGGAATACTAGGGAATTAAACTTCCTGTATTTTTAAAATTCTATTTTCTCCCCTCAGGTCTCCCCTGTTAAGGCTGTTACAGTGTATGTACCTTACACTTGCATTTAAATACTATTTTGGGAGTTTCAGATTGCTTAATCATCCCCCATTTCAGACTGATACTCCAGTTGAACAGCAGTGGCTGCAGGATGAAAGAATAACTCAGCAGGAAGAATGAATTAGAAATTTGCTGGCATTAAATATTGGTCAGGCCTAAAAGAGGGCTGCTATCCCCACCATAAGTAAGGGATGTTTCAGTGTGCCTGTCCCAACCCCTTTCCACTGGCAGCTCCAGCATTTCCTTCACTATGCACTTTGTCATGCATCAAGCAGTGGAATATGCCAAGAGGCATTCGATTATTGGTGTAGTAGGTCAGATGAGGGTAATGTGGATTTTTCCCCCGTTTTGAACTTTGCCTTCTTTCTCAGGAAAGAAGCGTAACTAACTCAAGACAAAGATTGTCAGAGGAACAACTACATTGCACTCTATTATTTGGGGAAGTTAATAGTTAATTTGATACTGTCAAGCTCCAGTCAGTAAACTTTCATAATGCAAACGTTCAATCAGTGAAAGGACAAAAAGTGGGAAGGCTCAGACAGTCCTTGTGAAATAACTGTCATTATATTCATCTTGTAACAGAGTCTTTTCTTCAGCAGACTAAGCTCTCCTGATAAAAGAACTTTTATGTGAAAATGTCTCTGCCAGTTTTTTTTCCCAGCATAGAAATGCAAAAATTCATATCCCTAAGCAGCACTAATCTATTAGTTGCAAATAATGGTGCCTTTAATGTTTCTAGCTTGTTGGGATCTCTACAGGAAATTCTGCCATAGATGTGTCTGTGTGCATGAGGATATGCATGCTCTAATTTTTGTTTGAAAGTTATTGTGCTGAATTTGTTTTTCAATAAAAAATCCACTTCATTCCACTTTGTAAAAGGGAGGATTGAAGCACATATTTACATAATAAATTCTCACCACTCAATGAGTAAAATCACAGAACAGCCTGGGTGTCAAGACCTTGCAAACTTCTCCTGAGCTTCTTTATTTCGATCTGCCTGAATTGCCACCAGACCCTCTTTGAAATCTTTGAAAAAGACAGAAAATTCACTGAGGGCTACTGTGCAGGTACCCAAATGTGTAAAAATACTGTAATGTGTTGAAGCGCTGGTAAGAAAACATGAAAGCATATGGAAACTTGTTAAATGTCACTCTTCAGACAGAATAACTTGCAAGATTTTTCCACAGTTTCTAGAGTTCTGGTGGAGAACTATCCTACTACATCCAGCATAAGAGCCTTAATGGAGAGTAAAACTCCACAGGTTTCCCAAAGAAGTTATTGATGGCCCAATCCTGGCAGTGCTCAAGGCCAGGCTGAATGGTACTCCCGAACAACTCGGTCTAGTGAAAGGTATCCCTGCCCATGGCAAGGGCCTTGGGACTAGATTATCTTCAAGGTCCCTCCCAATACAATCCATTCTGCGATTCTATAGTTCTGTGGATTTTGAAAATGTCTACTATGGACTTTGAAGTAGGTATAAGGTAAGCACAGAAGAGCAGCAAATCAAGTTCATGAAAAGGATTGAACATAGCCAAGCAGTTAGCACTACATGTAAAGGGCAGAACTCTTGTGAAGATAGATAGGATCCTACCCTAAGCTAGGCATGCCATCTGATTTGAATGGAAGTTTTCAGACCCTAAAAGATGCGTGGAATTCCTGGAACACATGAAACAAACCACTCAAGATAGGGGATTACTTACAGAGCAGCAGCATCATGACCCTAAATAATGAACCCATAGAGTAAAGCTGTCACTGACTTGCTCTCAGCAATTGCACGGTGCAGGAACCTCTGAAGGAAACCGAGTTCATTTTCACACCCACACAGCTGTACCTGTGTAGCCACCTCGTGGGCGGCCCACATGCCACTGCACAAGAACACCCTGCCCAGAGCGGCACAAAGCACAGAGGGCTCCTTTTACTGGTGTGAAGCAACAAGCAACTCTTTAGTTTCAACAGCTCTCAATCCAAGCTCCGGGAGGTGTTTATTAGCAGGGCTTGAACTCAACGGTAAAATTCATGACTGTGACTTCTTGTAAGTAGTGAGCCAGCAGGTCACACGGGGCACCTATACACGTAGTTTGCTTGGCAGCTACACGCAGATGGAGAAACACCCACTTTGCAGGCCAGGGGCTCAGTCCTAACCCGAACTCAGAGCGCACCTCAACAGGGGGAAACTAGCACCCAAGCGCTGGCACAACCTGGGGCTCTCCCCAAGCCACAAACCCCTAAGAGCGGCTCTAGAAAAAAGGGAACACGCTGCCGAAAAGCGGCACTCCACGACACCCAAAGACATCACAACACACCACCCCCGCTCCCGGCTCCCGCTGCAGGCGCTGAGGGAGGCTTTGCGAGACAGCGCCATTTATAGCCGCGGCCGAAGAGAGTGACAGGCTGCCCAGCCAATGAGTGGCGCCATCCACGGCGGCGCCCATTGGCTGTCCGCGATGCTGGCGGGCGGGTGGGGCGGGGCTCCGCGCACTCCATGGCGCTCGGGGCGGGGGGCGGTCGCCGGGGCTGGGCGCGCTGCTGACGCGGGGGGCGGGCGGGGAAGGGGAGTGAGAGCCCCGGCGGAGCCCGCACTGCCCCCGCGCCCCGCGGCTCCGCCGTGCCGGAGCGCCGCGTACAGGTGAGGACGGCAGCGGCGGTCAGCGCGTCCCGCTGCCCCTGCGCGCCCCGCGCCCCTGCGGACCGCCGGCTCGGCTCCCGGGGGGTCCGGGGACGGGCGGCTCTCCTCACACTCTGGAGCGGCAGTACGGCGGAGGCGCGTCCCTTCCCCGCGGGTCTCTGCGGTGTCGCCGGAGGGAGGCTGGGGGCCGTCCTGCTCCGCCATCTGCCCGCCCGCTCCTCTCTGCGCTCCCGTGCACCTGCGTGGCGGTGCGGGGAGCCCCGGCCGCTCCTCCGCAGGACTTGCTTCGCCGGCTGCTCAGGGGTGCCGCGGGGGTCGGGGGCAGAGCGGCACTGCGCCCTCTCCCTTTCTTCCTGGGGTGCCTGGGGGATACCCCGCTTCCCACCCTTCCTCCTCCTCCTCCTCGCCGCGCGCTGGGATCGCAGGGGCGTTCGGCAGAGTTTGCAGTTTCCTGTGTCTGTTCCTTCCCCCGCAGCCTCGCCGCGATGCCCCGGGCGCCGCGCAGCTCCCCGGACCGGCGCTCTCCCTCCCCGCCTCCCTCCCTCCGTCCCCGTCAGCTCTCGCCCTCTGCCGCCCGGCAGAGCTGGCGGCTCCCGGTGCCCGTCACCCTCCCGATTTTTCGCTTCCCCACCGAGGTAGCTGCGACCGGGGCGGAGGGACACCGAGAGAGGTCCTGACTAACTCGGGACGGTTTCCAGGAGGCTGCCGATGCCTCTTCCCCGGGTTTGAGGGCTGCGGGACGCCAGGGCGGCGGGTGGCGGCGGCCGGCTGCGCGCCTCGGGCTGTGTGGGATCGTGTCAGTGGAAATACGGCGGAAAAGCCCCTGTTTTAGCAGGTCCCCGCCGCCTTCGGCTTTTGGCTGCCGTTTCCTCACGGGCCGTTCTTCCGTGCCTTCAAGAGCAACCTTTTCAGTGCAGCAGTGCTACCGCGGTGGGTGATTTCGCACCCTCCCGGCAGGATGGGGTCTGGCTCATCCTCTCGGAAGTCTGGCACGCTTCGTGCTGTGATCCCGCACCATCCAGCCCTTCAGCAGCTATGTGAAGAGCCTTTGCAGGCGCACTGGAGTATTATCAGTTTTTATGGTTTGCTGTTGGGAATACGCTTTGTATGTATTTTGGGAGTGTCTGGATACAAGCAGAAACTTCTCGGTTTATTTAAGACGTGATTCAGTAGGGTTCTGCTCAGCATCTGAGAGGTGCCGGCACCTTCAGCACCCGTAGCCTTCAGCATCCAGCCGGGTCATTCCCTTTGGTCTGCAGTGGGAAAGGTTCAGGTCATAATGGCGCTAGCGAATTTCATAGGCTTCATCTGTCTAGTTATACCCTATCACACTGTCATCTCAAACTGGATTACCCTTCAGTTAAATTTGTTTAGAATGTGCTGTAAATTATTGAACAAACCTAAAGTGACCACCTGGGAGTTAAATAATTTATGTGGAACTACACATGTGTTTCTGCTGGTTTGGCTATATGCATTTTTAAAAGCTGGATCGTGTCTGGTTTATGTATAGCCTTGATGTATGCAGTTTGATATAGTGAAATGCTTAAATAATCATCTAAGTACTGCTGAGCTATAGCTGAGCTGCTGGTGCCTGTGCTAACAGGAGTGATTACAGCACCCAAAGAGAAGGATGAAAGCAGAACCAGCCAACTCATACTCATGATAATTATTGATTTGACACAATGTTGTGCATACTGACTGCTGGTTGAATCAGGTTACTACTGTTCCTTTTACTTTTTTGTTTTCTGATTTTTTTTCCTGACTCTGTTTTTGAGGATTCAAATAGCACAATGAGAGGCCCTGATCGCAACGTCTTGATTTTGTTGCAGCAAATGTAAAGATTATGCCCATGTTTTCTGGAAAGGCAGATGGTTCACTTTCCTTGCATTATCAGATAATATTTCTACTTGCCTGGTTGCCCTCTCTCATTTGCACATTGGAACAGCCGCCAGTTGCCCTCACTGGGATTATCCCTCTAGCTTGCAGCCTGGTCCTTTGTGCACACCTGAGGTGCTCTAGGGAGTTTGGCTGATGCTAAAATACTGAGCAAATTAGATAACAGCTTAAGCATCCTTGCTTCAGAGACACTTCAGCTGAGTTAAACTGTTCATCTCGGTATCCTAGTAGCTTATTTTGGTAGTTTGGGAATCACACAAACTTCCTAAATTCACATGGACAATCCTTATAAAACTTTGGGACTTGGGATCTTTGCCTCTCCTTGCTCTTAAAGTTCATCAAGACCTTTATCTTCTCACCTAATTATTGTTGCTGATACTTCTGGCTTGTATTATGTCCATCTCCCATCCAGAGTGCTGGTACTGATGATATTTCCTGGCATTGTGTGCTCTCTGTGTTAGCTCTCTATAGGTGTCTCAGTTGTCTTTATCTCTCATTGTGTCGATCTTGGGTTTCTCATAAGGCGTTTTGCAGTTCTTTATATTCCAGTTCATTATTTTGTTTCTCACTGAATGTTACCATCTACTGTGTCTGCTTCCCATGTACTTGCTTTTGTTCCCTTCCTCATAGGTACTGTGGGCTTTCTGAGTTAATGTTTAAAGCCACAAACCCATCTGTGCATGAAGTTCCTCAAACAGAGCACGTTGCTGGCATGATAGGTAACTGTAACCTGGATGTTGTGACTAAGATTTGAACACAAGAACATGTAGTTTTGCAACTTTATTGTTTGCTTCCATTCTTTTTTTGACCATGGTTGTTGGTTATGCTTTGTTTTGTGGGCTCCTTAGTAAAGGTAATATGTGCTGTGATAAAAGATTGGGAAGAATAGTTCAAATTTGACTGGAATCTCTTGGTAGTGTAATGATAAAAAGTATTTTTTTCCCTATTGTTTTGAATGCAGCAAGGCAAGAAGGTGACAGAGACTGCTTCCAAAGAAAATGCAGAGCAAGTTACTTATTGCTGAGTAACATACTTGTATCAGATACAGTTTATAGTGGAGGAAAAAACTTGGCAGTGCCTCGAAAGAGTGTTGACTGCAAATGTTTGACTACTGTAAAGATGATTTAATTCTTTGAAAACCCCTCCCCTCTCTTTTGAAGTTGGTTTCATTATTGCCCTCTAATCTCTTTGTCTTGCTTAGGACCGTGTGATTAGATGCTGTGTTTGGCCAGTTAATAATTTTCTAATTATCATAACCAGGGTATGGAACTTTCCTAATAAAACTGAACTGTAGATAAATAAGGTTTTATCTTTATGCCTGTGTGGTAGAGATAGAGGGGTGATACGGTCATACCATGGCTTTCTGAGGGCTTCTGGTTGATGCCAGTTGGTATGGATTGAGCAGTCTCTGCATGTGGGACTATAGTCTGTACTTTAGCTGCAGCTGAGATAGGAAAAAAATGGTTGTGGATGGATCAAATCCTCTTGAACTGAGCAAAGATGAACGATGTAGGTTTGTACACGGTGTTCAGAGCTCTGGTCTCTCAGCTTGCTGGAGGCAGTTATGCTCCTGAAGTTACATGAGACCTCACTGATTTCAGAGGGGTTTTGTTGATGTGAGGTCTTAGGAGTAGGGCCTTGAGTTAGTGCGTCCTGAAAGCAGCTTTTGTATCAGTTTGACACCTGCTAGGTGACACATGACCTTGCCTTGAGTTGAGAATAAAATTAATGTTGGTAATGTGTGTGTTTGTCCTTCAGTGACCAAATTCCTGTGAAATACAGCTCCCCTAGATGCAAATAGTCTTAGAAAAGGCACACATTAATCTAACAAGTTCTGTTCTCTGAGGCAAGACTGAGCCAGCGAGAGGGAGGTGCATGTAAGACACAGCAATAAAGGTGTAGTGTGTTTCGGTACTTGGAGGACTATTCTAAGTATTTTTGACATAATCTGTTAAAATTTTGTTTCCTTTAAACAGAACTAGAAGAATAAAGAGAAGTTGGATTGATGAGAACTATAAGAAAACGTACAACAGTTTGGAGTGGATTGATTTATGATACGTCTGATACGTGAGGGCTACATTTTGTGTCACTGTTGTCCAGCTGCTGGTGGAGTACTTCAGCTGACTTCATTGCAGCAAGCCCAGCAGATAGGTCCTCATCACTAACAGAACATAAGCAAGTGTGATGCTGAAATGAGATGAGGCTCCGAAATGGAACTGTGGCCACCGTGTTAGTTTTCATCACTACTTTCCTCAGTTTGTCCTGGTATACTGCATGGCAAAATGGGAAAGGTAAGGAAAAAGCTCCAAAACCTAATTACCTTCAAGTGGCTGCATTTCTGTGTGCTGCTGCTGTATGTTAGCAATCTGTAAATTGCTTGTTGAGTAGCTGTGATACAGAAGGTACTGCCTTGGTGAGAAATAAACACTTGCTGATAAGTTTAGGAAAATTAACTTTGAGTGGTCCCCATTTAAAAAGGAAAAAAAAAAAAGATACCTGAACAAAACCAAACGCTGCTCTTGGAGGAATGGGTTGGTCAAGGCTTAGGAGTTGTGATTTGATTTTATTATTTTTTTTTATCCTGGTTTATGGTTGTTGGAGAAACATATGTTTGTTTTTGGTTGGTGGTTTATTTATTTATTTTTTTTGCGTGTAACATATGGCCAATGGACCCAACTAGAGAATGTTATTTTTGGTGCTGCTTTCTGTCTTCCCTGGTGGTTTACTGATGGCAATGGCAAACTGCCAATCAACACTGTTGAGAGACTTTTTTTGCTGGCTTTGAGAAAAATTTAAAATGTCTTTTATTAAAGTACCGTGTAAGAAGTGAAATAAAATGATCAAATTGACTAGGTAAAAGGAAATGCATCTATTAAAATAACATGAACAATTTTATAAAATACTTAAGCAATTGTTTTGTGTAGTAGACTTTTACGTGTTCATATATCTTTAATCTTACTGTACTCCCTGTGAACCCTGAAAAATTCAGTTTTTCTGAGAGTTGGGATTGTTTATGAAATTAAGATGATTTGGTTTTGTCCTTCAGCAAGGCAAATAAACTTGTTCAGCAATGTTTTCTGTAAGAAGAAAGGATTGGTTTTTTTTATTTGATAAACATCTATCTCTTGGAAAATAGTAGACTATATCCTTCAAAGATCAAGTAATTTTAAAACTGATTTTGTCTTCAGTGATTGTTTGTTCTGATTGTTCTGCAGAAAATATTATTTTCAGTTGTTCCTCAGGTCCAATTAGAGGAAGCTGAGGTTTTCCAGGAATACTGTCTGTTGTAGCATGTTACTTGTTACTCCTGTTTAAGTATAAAAGAAACAGATGCTTTCTGTGGCATGCTGATTTTTTTTCCATTGGGCACTTGTGGAAGAAGCAGATGCTTTGTGGTGTGATCTCTGCTGTAGCAGTTGGTTGGTAGGCTACCCTTCTGAATGCAAGCAGCAGAAAAATGTCAGGTTCTCAAGGTTATGGTAATATATAGATTTTTTAATTAGACAACAAAAGCATACATGTGCCTAAGACAATGGTGTCTGAATAGCCCTGGAAGTAGTACTTTCTTCATTTGACTGATAACAAATTCAGTAGTTAGATTTTTGCTAATTTCTTGCTTAAGAACCTTGTAAGAATTTTGTTTTCACTTCAGCAAAGATATGTATCTATGAAATTCTTTCAATTTTTTTCTTTCTTACCTAATATATGACTTACAAGTCTTGTTCTCTTTTGTCAAAGCATGACACAAAGAAAATTCTCTGCTAAATTAACAAAAAACTACTGTTTGGAGAGTATGCGATATATGGCACTTTGCAACAATTTAAGCTTTTGTTAGTTAGACTACTCTATTTTTTTTCTACTTTTGTTTTCCATCTGACTGCTTAGAATCAATACGTTCTTAATGCTGGTATAAAAGTGCTGCATTTATCTTCTTCAAGATCTTTCTGTTGAGCATTAAGATGATAATTAGTGAAATAAAAATCAGTGTAACAAGACATCAGTAATGTCTTAATTAATCATAAATCACAGTTATGAAACAAAAGTCTAAATAATATTGTTTAAGAGAAGTGAACATAGAACATTGAACATTGTTTTTTAATTTTTAACTTTTTAAATTTTTTCACAGATTATTCAAAATCAAAACAGTTTTAATTCAGTACCATATTTTCAATCAATGCACAATCCAAAGTTTTCAGAAACTGATGGTAAATACTTGTTAAAGGTTTTTTTCCAGTTCAATGTTATTTTATAGCCTTGTGAGATGGTATTTTAATTCATCGATAACATTTTCATTACAAATTTTTGAGTGGCTAAGTTAGAAGCAAACATAGCTTGCTGTTCCCATTCACTGAAAGGCTGTGGAGTGTCACATTCTTTGATCATCATATTTTGTTTTTCATTACATTTAGATTCCTGTAGGTATTTGTCACTCTTAGGACAGCAAATTAAATCTACAGTTAGAAAGAAAATGCTATTTTTCACTTCCTTAAAGAAAAAGAAACCCCCCTCAAATTGCTCAATGATAACTAAAACAAATTCTGCTTTTTAAAGGAGAAGCATAATTTTTTTAACTGCCTCAATCAGTTTTCAAGTGATTAATTTTAATTTAAAAACTAAGATCTTGGATAATTGTCACTTGAAGTGCAACATCATTTATAGAATACCAATTAGATTGGGATTAAATTATATTTTTGTAGATCATGCCTTCCTTTAGTCAGTGTATGTAATCTATGTGGGATAGGATTTAGACACTTCTGAGTGATACAGACTTTGGTACTACTTTAAAGCACAAAAGTTTGTCTCAGCAGAACAATGCTTTACAAACTTTAAGATATGCTGAGAAGTTGTCAGGAGCTGAAGGAAATACTCTGTTTTAAGTGCCATTGCTGGAAACAGCATGGCTGTATCTTACCCATAGGTTTGATTATGTGAATAACATTCCACAAGGCATATATTGCTATTTCCATGAAATGGCCAATTATATGATTTTACTTTTAAAATAACTGTGTTTGAAGAAAGTTGAATGAAATATCTTTGGTCATTGGAGAGAGTCTTCAAAATTAGTCCAAGGTCTTTGTTGCTTTCTGGACTTTGTGCAAGGTGTAGGAACACTGGTGTTGTAAGGAAGCAGTACAAGCCCTGATCGCACCTGGGAAAGACCTCTCCTGGGGGATTCTTGCAAATCAGTAGAGAGATCACTTTCTATGGTTTAAAATGTGCTATGGGTTAGCATAAGTGATGTACACGTTGGAAATGGAATCTTAAAAAATGCTGATTACTTTGGTGTGCAGAAGAAACACTTTTAAAGGTTCTGCAGTCACTTGACGTTCACATTTAGTTCAGTGTAAGATGTCCTTGAGTTCCTCCTAAAACCGAGCTCTTATGTAAGGAATAACTTTATGGTTAATACCCTCTCTTCTGACTGAATCCTGTTTTCTGGTACTGCTGACCTGCTCAGGGTCACTGGTCTTCACCACCTCATTTGTGAGCTCTAGAAATGTGGTGGGTTTTTTACCCTAAAGGCACTGCTCTTGGGAAGATCTAACCAGTACAGAACAGTTCTGCATACCTATTAGACCAGTCACAAAATTTACATCAAAGCAGTTGTATGCTATGTTGAGTGTGTAGTCTTGATGCTTTGTTCTTTAATGAGACTATTGGTCTGAGTACATAATATTCCAGGAAGAGCCCTATGTTCCATAATGCTAAAGAACCTCCCCTTCTTGGATCAACGAACTTCCTGATGGCTGTGGAAATTGGGAAGGAAGGTTAATAACTTCACTGAATTAGTGTGGGTGTGGTAGGATGGAATTCAAGTATTTTTTCATTTAAAATATGTGACTTTTATTCTCAGTCAAAGACAGTTGTTGGCAGTGTCTTGTGTCACTTCTAGGAGATATTTGGCTACTTGAAGTATTGAAAACAGGTATTGCAATATGTATTGTGAAAATCTGATGTGATTTAGCCCTTCAGAACTGACTAAACTATGTAGTTTTCACAGCATCCTGAAACCATTAGTGCATTTCATTAATCTTCTTTAAAGATGAATTAGTTGAAGAACTTCTGGTTTTCAATTCATCCAAGGGTGTTGTCATAACTGCAGGATTTCCTCACTGCATGGGGATGGCTTATTTTGGTACACATATACAAATTCCCATGTGAAGACCTACAGGAGAACTTCTGAGATATTTATCTAGCTTCCTGGTTCACTAAACATTCACTCATGCTTAAGTAATGAAGGTTGAACATGTTTTCTTTTAAGCATGAAGTTTTCTCTCATATGGAGAGACAATGGCTTGGGCTTTATAATAAAAATGTCATCTTCTCTCTCCTCTGTCTGTTTTCACAAAATAAGAAGTGCCATGCTGGTTCTCAGCCACAATAATCCTAAGTGTTCAAAAACATCTAAACTTAGCAAGGATAACAAAACCTAACTGAGACTAAAACAAAAACCCTCAGCCAGTGGTGGCTAATTTTGGAGTAAGAAGAAGGAATATTTATCTCCAGAGGAAGAAGACTCCTACAGGAAGAACCACAGAGGAAACAAGGCAAGGAGGACAGAACCAACCTACCTACCTACCTATGTTCTCCATTGGCAGTGGTTATGCAATATTCTCATTAAGAAAAGGTTCAAAGTCTGAGAAATACATATATTTTGCAACTATAACCCACCTTAGTTTCTGCATGGATCCTAAGAGAAGCTGTCATGCAGGTAAATGCTGCTACAGCCTTCTGACTGCTGGTCCTGATTTTCAGAGTTAGACACTCATTTTCCCCTGATATGTGAATTGAGACCAACCAACCAAAAAAGTTAAATGGACTACAAACTGGGAGGAATGAAGGCAGGGGAAGGGAAGGAACAGACTGGGATGCAAACGTGGAAAGTGCTTATTAAAATTAATGCCAGTTTGGAGAAGAGGGGGCTCTTTCATTTCTGTTAAATAGAAGGAAAACATTGGTTTCCTTTGGAAATTCTGTTGCAGACCTTCCAGGAGCTGAAATTAAAGGAAGTGAGGGTTTCCTTTTTCATTTTAACACCAGCACATGAATGTTGTTCTGTTCTTTATCTAAAATACACTTTAAGCTTGTTTTCAACAAGAAACTGGCTTATAGCTTACTGATACTAAATATAGTTGCATTTCATTAAAGCTAATCAGGAATGTAGGTTTGGTTTGGTTACTGAGGGTCCTGTGCAGGTAGTGAACACCCTGTTACAGGTGAATAATACAGAAGAGCTGTATAGCTGTTCAGGTGGGATAGTGTTTAGGTTTGCAGCATCTTTGTGTCTGTT